TGCAAGCACAATCATACTCTATTCCCAAGCAAGTTGAGAAGTTTTCCAGCCCATTTTTTTTTTTTTTTGACTGGACCGGAATGAGAACACAGCCACCTTCAGCATGGCCTTAATTATAGCTGTGCTCCTTTATCCACAAATCTAAGATACCATCAGATTTTTGGAACAAATATGTTTTCTTCAGACCTAACCAACAGATTCCAAATTGGTGGGAGTGGAAGCGAGAGAAGATTCCAATTCTACATTAATGGCGGTTAACTCCAACTCGGATTAACTTTTAATACAGTCCCTCTTTGTAAAATCTGCTAAATGCTTGCTTATGATTGAATTAATTAACAACAACGTCGCTACCAAATCAATCGGACATTTGTAATCGGGATTTTATCCGAATATAATATTGTCGTTTCACTTGAAAGCTGGAAAATCAGACTAGCGAAATTCGATTTTTTTTTCTTGTTTGTAATCACCCAATGATGCGCTATTTAGCTTAGGTTTAACGTTTAAAACAAGTCATATTTTTTTATTTACTTTACGAGTCATATTTTCCAGCTTCCAAGTGGATCGACAATACCGGTTGAGGGTTACCGCCATAAGCATGTTTCAATTCGATAGCTTGTAAAAATACAACGTTGTGCGAATACAGCGCATTTTGTCCGACGTTATTTTTTACATACAAATCGCGAGTAAAATCAATTGGCCCGTGTCGGAATTTTCGGTTTTCTACTTTACTGTATACGTTACTATACAAATGAATTGTATTGGTAGAAAAATATTTAATTTTTTTATAAAACCGCTTAAAAGCAGCCAAGCTGTACTTGAACTTGTCATTAAAACTGGTATAATCCTACCAATATTTTCCGTGTAAAAAGTGTACTTTCCACCGCTAGGTGGCACTCTGAAATACAACGATTTTTTTTTCACTTTTCGAAGCAGAGATGAGCTTCCTTTCTTTGGTTCAGGTGTGGGAGCTTCCTCCCTGGCGTCGGTAGCATTGGTGCTCAACACGGAAAACAAGATCGACGGAAAACAAAATCAAGAAAAATAAAAGACACTCTCTATCGATCATAACAAAGTTTCTTTATTCTCGATTTGATTCAGATTTTCAAAACTTGTAGTTCACTTCATGAGTAACAACTTTGCCGAAGATTAAATCATAAATCCAGTTAGTTTTATTGAGATATTCGCTTTTGAATCTAGTTGATACGTTGCAGATACAGGCAGCTCATTGTTGCACTATACGAGCAGAATGTTCATAATTACTTAATATCTCCATAATACTAACTTGAATCGTGATGCTGTATTCAGCAAAGTTGTTCCTTATAGTGTGCTGAAATTCTGAGCTTAATAAAGTTTGTTGAACCAGTTCTATGCACGAAAGAGTGAAGTAATATCATTTATCTATACATTTCAACCAATATCCCCATATAAATTTTTAATCAAAAGCGCCAGGTTTTTTCATCTAATGGCACAAATCTAGGGGTTGGCCCGTAGAAAAATGATAATAATGATGAAATTTCCCCCATATTAATGTGGGCCAGTCTAATGATTACTGATATGCTAAAAACTAATTCGGGGCTGTTCATAAACTACGTAGACAGTTTTTTTGGATTCTTGACCTCCCCCCCCCCCTTCCCCTGCATAGACAATTGTCCATACAATGTTTTTTTTTTAATTTGTATGGGTCATGTATAATTGTCATGCTCTTGAATATCTGACAACTTCTATACTGCCGTTATTCGCATAACAGTCCCATGTCCTATTGATTTCCTATGGGACTGTTATGCGAATAGCGGCAGTATAGTTGAAGCAAGAGCTGCCTCAATATTAAAATTCGAGGTTAAATTCAATTCAATTATAATAGACGACGATCTTCAGCTCTTGATCCGTCTTAAAAATGTCCGTAGGAGGCAATATTAACGAACACGCGATCCTGCCATGAAAGTTATATGGCGGGATTTGCAAAAACAAACCCTTTTGGAACCTCACAAAAATTAAAAAAGAAACTCAAAAGCCTATTCCACCGCTTAAATAAGCTGGTGAAATTTCTATCTAAAATTAGGAAAAAACTTAGAAACTTGCAAAGTAATTCGAGGGTTCCCATAATTTCAGTTTTTGTCTTACTAGTCTTATTGAGAATCAGGTTGCTCGGGATTATCTGAATATTTTCTCTCAAAAAAATATTTTTGATGATTCCTGGGGGACTGATTTGGACGAAGTAAGATTTATAACTAAAAAGTTTCAGAATATGAAAGTTCCAGGTAATGGGGGAATTTTCTATATCCTCATAAAAAAAAAAAAACTCCCAGAGAGTACCTTGTCTTTCTTGGTCAAATTATTTAACAGATGTTCCAATTTTGAAGCCGGATAAAAATCCAGCTGAAGCTTCTGGCTACCGTCCAATAGGTTTGCTTTCATCAATAAGTAAACTTTTTGAAAAGATAATTTTAAGTAGAATGATGCTTCACATTAATACAAACTCAATTTTTGCAGATGAGCAGTTTGGATTTCGCCATGGGCATTCAACTACTCATCAACTCTTAAGAGCTACCAATTTAATTCGTTCAAACAAATCTGAAGGCTGCTCAACTGGAGCTCTTCTAGACAAAGAAAAAGTATTCGGCAGTGTTTGGCACGAAGGTTTGATTGCTAAATTGAGAAAGTTAAATTTTCTTCTCTGTATCATGAAATTAGTTCAAAATTATTTAACTGACAGAACACCACAGGTAAGTTATCAAAATTCCCAATCTGAACGACTACCTGTTAGATCAGGAGTTCCCCAGGGTAGCAATCTTGGAACTATATTGTATAACATTTTCACTTCGGACCTCCCTGATTTGCCTCAGGACTGCCATTTCCGCTAAAGGAAGAAGTCTTCGTGTTATTTGCAGCAGACTGCAGCAAAGTTTAGATATTTTCTCTTCTTATTTACAAAAATGGAAGATTTCTCCCAACGCTTCCAAAACTCAACTTATAATATATCCACATAAGCCTAGAGTTTCCTTTTTGAAACCTAGTAGTAGTCACATAGTCACTATGAACGAAGTTCCAATTTCCTGGTCAATCCAAGTGAAATATGTTGGATTAGTACTTGACCAAAAATTAACTTTAAAAGATCACATTGAGGGCATTCAAGCCAAATGTAACAAATATATACAATGTTTGTATCCTCTTATAACCAGGAAATTCAAACTTTGCCTGACGAATAAACTTCTGATATTTAAACAAGTTTTTAGACAGGCCATGCTTTACGCTGTGCCAATATGGTCTAGTTGTTGCACTACCAGGAAAAAATCACTTCAAAGTTCTGAAAATGATTTTGGAGTTATCTCCCTGCTACAACAGTACTATCGAGGTAGGGGAATTTACGTATTCTCGTCAATCTAAGCAGCGTCCGCACTTCTATTAGTATTTTGTCAGCGTTACGCACATATATCACGTGTCTGTTTGTTAACATTCATCTGCTGCTTGCTTCTCTATCCATTCCAATCGACAGATTTTTCAAACCGCTTTGAAAGCGATTTTACAACGCTCCAAACTTCTCAGGTGAGTGTGACTATTGTCGGCAGCCTCTTTTTCTTCGGCAACCTTCCCATTAGAACTGCGTGTTAACCAGCTGTTCTATTATCGGCAACTCGAAATCAGCCCCATTTTGTAGTGCGTATACTTCATTTGAAGAAAAATCTGGCATAATAGGATTGCTCGGTCGTACAAATATAATCAGATTGAAGCTGAAAGACTAAAGAATCGTTTGAATACATTCAGGGAAGTGTGTTGATGGGAAAACATAGTGAAATCATCGTTTAAATTTTGGTTGCCGAAAACAGTCAATGGGTGCCGAAGCCAACATTTACCCTACATAGAATTTCGAATGTTGAGACTTTAGAACAAATGTCCAACAAAATAATTAATAATTTCTGGCAAAAATCGCTGCAATCCTCAATTGTAACGATTAATTCCCTTTAAACTTAGATAAGATTTAGTTTTAGTTTTTAGTTTTAAGATGCATCTAGGTTAAAATTAAATGTAATTTATTTTGAATTTGGAACAAATAAAGAAATAAAAAGATCGGATTACATCGTAAGACTTTTCAAACGTAATATAATATAATAACACAGATTAAATTGTATTTGATGTCAAATCAACTCGTTTAAAAAAGAAATTTGCACGTATATGGCCTCCACTTTTGAACGTATAACTCATTTTTTGCATCCAATACGATTTGTTTGTGTATCACATAAACAACTTTGAATATACGTGTATTCTGGTTGTCTGAGTAATAGTAGGTTGAAGAAGCATGCTTTCCAGATGATTCGAATCTTAACCGATGTAGTGTATTTGACTAATAAATAAGCATTCTGTGTCTAGAGTGTGATTTGAATTGTGTTTTCATGTTTCAGTTGTTCACCGTTGCTTAAAAGCTATTTTTTAAGATGCTAAAAGACTACGTTGACTGCGATGGTACGTTCATCATCTTTAGATTTTCAACATATTCGTAAAAAAATAATTGGTTTTTCGAAGTAGTATGAAAACGGATTCGAAGCAAGCAGATTTATTAACTTTTCTCACAGTCAATTTTTTTCAAACTTATTTAAAATACGTGCAATTTATCATCTGATGAAAATTGTAGAAAAACAAATTGGACTTAAAACATACTATATTTGTTTAACTATCGGTTTATTGTGAATGATCAACTGATGGTTGCTACAAAAATACAGTAACGAAAAAACAAATTCCTGAATTTGGTCGGTGGTCCTTATTTGATCATAAATTAGAAATAAGCTCGCTATACAATTTTCGGCTTGGATTTAAGCAACAACAAAAACGACCATAAGAAAGTATAGAACTTTTTTCTTTTGAATGCTTTTTGAAGAACTGCTTTGTACTCTCAAAAAATCTTTAGGATATTTTCCGTCTAGATCTGTTTGCTAAAAATTGCCTGTGCGTAAAGTTAAATATGTCAATCTGAGGTACGTTGAAAAGCCTTAAAACAAATAACTTACTTTAAAATCCATTGTCCTTTTGCCGAGGAGATCCCTGCCTTCTTCCTCCATAAGCTGTCTATGGGTACATATGATAAAGTCTGGCTTTGAATTCTTATATACTAATCTGGAACTTGTTTGCAGCCACTGCCAGTCTCCATTCTTTTTTTGGTATCGATATGCAATCATCCCTGATGCACCAGTCTTTAGCACTGCGAAAACAAAATCGGTGTAAGTAGGTGTATCGAGTAAATAAATGATTTATAAATACTTACATTCCTGATGTGCACTTGCCACATAGGCCAAGTCGTCAAAATGCACTAGGTCGTATCCGCCCATATTCGCGAGCTCGGAATCTGAGTATCCTAATGTCATTTTCCCTCTGAAAAAGATGAAATGTGTTTTCATGAAAATAAGTATAGACACTTCTTCAACTAACTGATATTAATCTTTTGTTTTAAGCTAATTGAATTAATACATATGTATTAATAGTCATCATTAAAATTATATCCACCAGAGATATGTAAGATTCTATTACAGAAAGATGAAAGATGTACGTCGGAAAGTTTTTTAAATTATTTGTTTTACATTTTTGTTAGCTTGTTTATCGACCAAAGCCAGTTTTCCCAATGCACTGAGTCTATTTGTTGTAAGCAAGGCGTCACAATATCAACTTCAATTGACAAACTTGATGCGACGAAGAGACTGTTGGAGTTAAAATGCTGCGAAGCTGCTCGACTATAACAGAAAACTAATGCTCTTTTTTCTGTTGAAGTTGAGCAGTTTCGTAGCATTCTAGCACCTCAGTCAACGTCTACAAACAAGTTTTCAATCGTTTATCTCTCTTTCTCCCGTCTCTTTATTCGTCTTTCTTTCAAGCTTCGGGGAAGTCGACGAGTTTGGAAAGTTCCGACTTTCATGAAGCATATCAACCGAGGTTTCATGACGGAAATTTAAAATATATATTTAAAACATTTTTCACGCGGAAACGCATGAACATTACACGTAAGGTACATCAGGGCAAGTTGAACGCGCGGGGAAGTTGAAACGGTACGTGCATCTCTTAGCGGAAGTGAATATTCACTCCCCCTTATTCTGCGCCGCGAGTGAGGTGAGGTGACTCGCTGCCACTGGTGAGGTGACACAAGTCACCGCGAGTGAGGTGACTCTCAATTTGATTTGTACGGAGAGTCACCTCACTCGCGGTGACTTTTGTCACCTCACTAGTGACAGCGAGTCACCTCACCTCACTCGCGGCGCAGAATAAAGGGGACTGTAATTATTTTTGAGAGGCATTGTATACTACCGCAAACTACTATGTAAGAAATAATCGCAGTGATTATTCATTTCCGCTAAGAGATAAACCTACCGTTTCAACTTCCCTACGCATTTTAACTTGCCCAGTGTACTGTAAATATTACTTTATGTAAAAAAGTAACGAAAATAGGACATAATGCATATTAAACAAATTGATAGAGTAGGTGATGGTATCGGTGAAAGGGATTGAAAGCCATAGTGAGGTTTCGTTTTCTACTCGAAAATCAACGTTACATTCATTAAAAGGGTTGAGCAAAGCAACGACGCAGCCAACCTTTCGTTCTAAGCGTCTAAGTTTCTTTTTCATTTTCGTTTCGTGCTGATAGTCTAGCTAGGCGTTATAGAAATGATACGTTAAACACGTTGTATTAAAGAAACAAAACTCGAGTTTATTTTAGAGCTTCGAAACTCTAGAACACTGGTTGTAAGTTCTACCATTATATTTTTTGTAAGAAACATACACGGAGGATATAAAAAGGCACACTTACATATGATGTTCATGCCATTTGTTTTGCGAATTTACCTATACAGGTATACCTCGATATAACGTAACTGTCACTTTTGACTTCCATCGCCGATTTCTCGCAAACGATCATTCAAACAAGCAAAGTAATAACACCATCGGACAGATGATCTCCCATCTATTGGTAATATTAATGTGTATGATTCAATTATTATTAGCGAGATATTGACGATGGAAGTCGAAAGTAACAGTTACGTTACAGTATGCAAAAAAAGTTTATCCACCCCCCTACTAAATGTAAATTGGTAGGGGGGTGGATAAACTTTTTTTGCATACTGTATATCGAGGTATACCTGTACCTGGAAAAAACGCAGATCAATCTTCTGCCCCCTGAAATGATACGTAATTGATGCATGATGATTGGTCATCGTCCTAATATTAGTCAAAACTGTTGAATTCTCCGAGTACTCGCATTCGGAGCTGTTATTAATACACTCAATTCTGTTTTTACGCGATTTTATTTCGCCTCTATTTTTGATCGTGTGATCTCAAATTGCAACAAAATTTAATGCAACTTATTTCAAAAACTCACCAAAGGACGGATCGCCACCCTAAGGTTAAAATGATTTTTATGTGTAATAATAGCAATTAATACATAAAATATTGCCTGTCGTACATCTTTGAGAGTCCCACATAGAGAAAATGTTGAAAACAAGCAACACGGTTTGTGATTGATTTTTCATCAATGTTTTTTTTTGCGTTGGCATCGAGGGCCTTTGATTCAGATGTGAAAAATTTCATGTCGGTAACGAAGTGTAAATTCGCGTGAAAAAAAAGCGGTTGATAAATGTGACAAACTTGAAATTTCGCGGCATTAAATGATAAAATTTTCTTCAGAAAACCATTTTCCAAAAAAAGACAACAACTTAACCGAAATAACATGATTCAATGAAATCAAAATATATATATCCATATCCACTCGACCCGTTATTTGATCTATTGTCGTATAACCCGTGTCCTTAGCTTAATGCATGTCGTACTACTCCCTTACTATTGAGAAATGAAGAAGTAATCGGTTTTCAAGTGTTGGAACACCCTGCAAAGGCGCACCTCTTTATCAATCAAAAACGGATTCCTTTGCAACAAAATCAAGCAATAACACCGATAATGATCATGCATCAAAATCCAAACAAAAGATTAGAAATCACGTAGATGAAAAATAACTAAACTCTTTTTTTTTCTTGTTTCAAGATCATTCTCGCTGGACAAAGTCGAGTCTCGTCACTATCAACAAGGTGGTAGATCTTAAAGCCAGTTAAGCACCACGAAAAGGTAATCTACCAGGCGATACTCGGCTATATGACCTAATACCAGCCACATAAAAACAAATAAACCATCAACCTTACGATTTGGTGTCAATGACCAAAACTTGTCTCATTGTTCTAGATAAAAAATAATCTCAAAACGTTATTGTATTTCAAAGTTTGAGTGGCAGTCAATAAAAATTCAACTGGTGCTGTAAAAAAATCCGACTTTGGAGGGTGTTCCAACTCCGAAAGGTATAAATAGCGGGACCTTTCAATTAGAATCAATTCCTTGCATGACAACTGTATCAAAACCGAATAGTTCATCATTTCTCAATAGTCATGGAGTAATACGACATGCACTAAACTAAGGACACGGGATATACTACAATAGATCAAATTACTGGTCGCAGTAGTGTTATGCCCCGGTTATTCAGTTTTTCGGTTATGGTTGAAAACTGTTAGCACCAAACCACCGTTCATCTTACGCATGAGATATTTAAATTTAATGTAATGGTTCAGAACTGACAGAACTTTCCCTACATAACTGCATTGGGTTGATCAATGTTGAGCTATTTTGTTGTGATCAATGTGCACTAAATGCGACATCGACATAGACTACAGGAACTGACACTATTTCTTTTCACATATACTGTTGATTTGCACCTGAAGTACACAAAAGTGCCATGCATGTTGTAGGATAAAACAATACCCAAAAATACGTTATTTCAGTAGCTCCATCATTAGTATTAGATTAGGTCTCTGAAGCAGAGAAGAGAGTGATGGTTGCATTTTATGATAACGAACAGGCAGTTGTTTTCCCTATCAGAAGACGGTACTTTCAATATTGAACAATATTTTGGTTCATATGTCTGCGAATTAGACCTCTTTGTTCTTTATTTTGGAGGACAACCCTAACATAAAATTATCATGCATCATCATTATGTACTTCAGTAGTATGATGTAAAATAGAATACTGTGATTTTTCTCAAATCAAACGTTTGGTTTCCAATAATTAGGTGCCTATTATTTAGAAATTAGTGGGATTCAGTTATTGAATTTCAAAGTCAGAACAAATGCTCGTATACAGATTCTACCTGTTCAATGTTTTGATTGTAAGCATCATAGTTAAGGTACACCGGGGCAAGTAGAAACAGTACGTGCATCTCTTAGCGGAAGTGAATATTCACTGTAATTATTTTTGAGAGGCATTGTTGTCTGCCGCAAACTACTATGTAAGGAATAATCGCAGTGATTATTTACTTCCGCTAAGAGATACATCTACCGTTTAAACTTCCCTATGCGTTTCAACTTGCTCCGGTGTAGAGTAATGCATTTTGGTTGGACCTATTTTTGTCATTTAAGGAAAATCCCAAAGGCTTGGTAGCCATCATAATAAAGTAATGAAATTGGGTTGTTAGCGGAATGCTTAAATCCATGACAGATACGTATTTCGACTATAATGTGCAGTCTTCATCAATGTCATTCTCACTAAAGAACTTATCAAAATCTAATCCCCTTAAGTACTCATCCCCTAGGTAAAAAAGTCAAGATCACAGGTATAAAAATGAAACTACAATGTGTTGAATCGGAACCTACCTAACTAATAAACCAAAGATTTAAGTAAACTAAAGGAGAAAATCTATTTAACTCTCTAATAAGGATAATCCCTAAGGCTTGGAAGTCCCTCCTTTCTTACACATTCTGCACAAAAAATACTTGCTAAGCCCCGCTCCTGACACGATTTCCCACCGTTTTTTTATGAATGGGGCGTATATCTTAGAATATGTAAAAAAGGATGGACTTCAGATGTTAATCTAATTGCATATATGAGGTATTGAACAGTCCCTTAGTAGATATGTTTTACAGTAAGTTGGTGGTAAATCACAGAATAACATCAGAATATCGTAAGCGATTTTTTTTTTCAGAAAATATTAATCTCTGGGCAGTGGTAGTAAACTGGTAAAATATTAACGGAATTCAGGGTTGCTTCCACTCACTTGCCATAAAAAATTGATTTTCGGAATTATGAAATCATTAGATAAAATAATGATATGTTGTACTTGTAAGTAACAAGAAAAGGGTGTAAATTATGTGTTTGACTCATAAAACTTATCCATTTCGCGTCACATAAAACCTGTCAATATTGCTTGCAGTGCGTCACAATCAGCGATTTTATGATTCGTGAGCGTTCACTCAGAGTGAGCTCTCACGAATCGTATAATCACTTATTTTGACGCACTGAAAGCAATATTGACAGGTTTTATGCGTCAAACACATACTTCACGACCTCTTCTT